TCCAAGCTTCCACAGGTTTATGGAATGCAATGCCCAGCGGTTTCTGGAATATTTTGCTGGCTGAGAAAAAAGATTGGCACAGCTCAGATCTTCTGAGATGGCAACATTGACTTGTCTGATTAGGGAAAGGGCAGGGACTACATTTACGAGGGAGTGGAAAAGCCCTTGTGATTTTTTTTAATTTCTTTTTGTGGTCGAAGAAAGAAAGGAAAATGAATGTGATTTACGGGCTGGATGATTAGAAAGCGTAGAGGATGGAAAGCAGGGAAATAGGAATTAGGCAAGGTGAAATGGGAATGACATAAGGGCTGTTAAGAAGATCCAAAGGTGCTTTTTATAATCTTTGCTTTCTGTTCTCTTTTTTTCTCCTCTTTTCTTTTTTTTTTTTCTTTTCTTTTTTTCTAAGGGGATGCCACAATGAAAGAGATTGTTCTCCAAAGCAGCAGAAGGCAGGGCAAGACACAACGGATGGAAACTAATCAAGGAAAGGTCTCACCGAGATTAATTAATTCATTGGTGGAATGGCTTGCCTTCAAAAATTGTGGGTGCTCCAACACTGGAGGTTTCTGTGAAGAGATTGGACCACCATTTGTCTGAAATGGGATAGTAGGGGGTTGGTCTAGAAGACCTCCAATGTCCCTTCCAACTCTGTTATTCTTTTTTCTTTTGTACGTATTCAGTATTTTTGTTTATTTCTTTTCTAATGCATGTAGAGCTTTTATCTTGTTATTTTTTTGAAAAATAAAAATCATATGCATATTAAAAAAAGGAACAGCTCAAACTTCCTGAGTTTTCCACTGAAGAAACTAAACTTTAAAACTAAAGGGAGAGAGGACACCACTCTCTATTTCTATATCATCGACACAATTCTACCCAAGATTCTACACAAAGAATAAGTTACATTCTTCTTCTTTGGGAGTTTATGGGAATTTCTGGTGGGATGGGAGCATAGGTCCCACCACAATGAGAAGACCTTTCTGAGGCAGTGCAAGAACATCTGTGAAGTCACACTTCAGTATTGCAAATACAGCAGAGGGTCAAATTAAACAAATGTTTGAATTTGTACACACCTCTCCTTCAGGATAAGGTGGGTAAATATATACCCAACAGGGGAAATTGTGAAGTGTTACACATCCCAGAGGATGTTAATCTAGGAAAGGTAGACTGTTGAGAGACGCTAGACTCTCTCATCATCTAAGAAAGAGAGAGAAGCTTTTTGTGAAAAACGAGAATAAGACTCCTTGGGCCCTGATTAGTGACTGGTTTAGTTTCCCTCTGAACGGAAGATTAATTGTGAAGGGAGTTAGTGATTTGGCTGACCCTTCCAGGAAAGCAGAAACTGAGGATCAAACACGAATCCAATTAACTAGGATACATTTTGCTCTGCTGAGATCTGTTTGCATTCTTTCAAAAGGTTCCAGATCTGATACCAGGTTGTCCTGGAGGAATGAAAGCCCGGTGTCCAGAAGACTCATAAAGCAGTGGCTTTAACAATTTCAGCTTGTCAGGAAGCAAAGTTGGCTTAATCCCATCCCCTGGGTTTCAGTCAAATGCAGGGATTCATTTTAATTCCACAATCCCAGAGTCTTGAATAAACGATGGGGCCATTGACTGACTGTTGCTCCATTTTATTGGCTCCGTTCAAACCATGATAGAGCGTTTGCTTCCCCCAGGCTCACCCCCCAGCTAATATTCCAGGTTTCTCTTGGATCTGGGAAGGCGAGACATTTAATCAATCTCAGTTATGAGTATCGTTGTTCAACCACTTTCGGGCCACATGCCTTAATAATAGGAGCTAATGGTGCAATCATCCCAGGTTAAAATTAGAATCATAAAAAGAGGCAATAAAAAGCTCTCAGGTCAGTTCATTTCACCCCAAGACAGAAGCTGCAAAATTCTCCCATTGTTTGGTGAAGTTAATACAGGGCTTAGAAAATACGTGCTGAATTATGCCTGGTAATAATGATCTCTCTCACACTCAAGGATGTTCAAGAATCGAAACTGACCTGATATAATTTCTCCAATATTCTACAAAGCACCCGAGGGCAGGACAAGAAGCAACGGATGGAAACTAATCAAGGAGAGAAGCAACCTGGAACTAAGGAGAAATTGCCTGACAGTGAGAACCATTAGCCAGTGGAACAACTTGCCTCCGGAAGTTATGAGTGCTCCAACATGGGAGGTTTTTAAAAAGAGATTGGATAACCATTTGTCTGAAATGGTCTAGGGTTTCCTGCCTGAGCAGAGGGTTGGACTAGAAGACCTCCAAGGTCCCTTACAATGCTATTATTCTATTCTATTCTATTCTATTCTAGTCTATTCTAGTCTATTCTAGTCTAGTCTAGTCTAGTCTAGTCTAGTCTCTATCCTTATTCTATTCTATTCTGTTCTATTCTATTTCATTCCATTCCATACTGTCCTATTCTATTCTATTCTATTCTATTCTATTCTATTCTATTCTATTCTATTCTATTCTATTCTATTCTATTCTATTCTTCCTCCCTCCCTTTCTTCCTTCCCTTCTTCCTTCCCTCCATCCTCTCTCCCTCCTCCCTCCCAGGAGTCAGTTGCCCGGTGTTTGAACTGACCACAGGGGTTGCTACAATGGTCGTAAGTGTGAAAAATGGTCATGAGTCACTTTTTTCAGAGCCGTTGTAACTTTGGACGGTCACTAAATGACCTGTTGTAAGTCGCGGGTGCCCTGTATTTGCTTGCTGCGTCTCCGTTGCCCTCGAGCTGTCTGCTGTGACCTGTGATATTTGGAGGGTTTTATTAAGCGGCAACAGGAAGGGAGAGGCCAGCTTTGAAATTAACTTGCCAAAACTTCCCTGCAATATTATGAGAATTCCTCCCTCGTTGTTCAATGACCTGACATGCTGTTTGACAATATTAACATAATGGTGCTAAAACAAAAGCTTGCCACTTGGGAGAGGAAAAGCCAGATTATCCTCTGACAAACATCAGAAAGAAAGAGTGATAGAGGGAGGGAGAGAGGGAGGGAGAAGGAAGAGACAGATACAGAGAAAGGAGAGAGAGAAGAAAGAAAGAAAGAAAGAAAGAAAGAGAGAGAGAGAGAGAGAGAGAGAGAGAGAGAGAGAGAGAGAGAGAGAACAGACAGAGTGACAGAGAGAGAAGGGAGAGAAATAGAGAAAGAAGGAAGATAACAGACAGAGAGAGAAGGAAGACAGAGAGGAGAGAGAAGGGAGAGAGATAGAGAAAGAGAAGAGAACAGACAGAGAAAAGACAGAAAAGAAGAAGAGAAAGAGAAGGGAGAGAAGGGAGAGAGGACATAGAAAGAGAGAGAAGGAAGAGAGACAGAAAGAAGGAAGAGAGAGGGAGACAGAGACACAGAGAGAAACTGAATATTACCAAATTTCCACTGCCTGTCTAAGATTTGCATTTTCGACAAGGAGAAGCCTTCCATCAAACAGGACATCAGATGGAACAAAGGAAGAAGAAATCTTATTTCAAAACATTTATTTCTCTCCAGCTGGATTCACGGCACTTCACACCTCGCTTTGTACCTTCCATAAAGCAAGCGAAAGGCCTCACCTGTCACGATACGCCACAAACATTGGCTTATTCACGACAACGACTAGACGTAAGCAACACAACTCCGATCAAGAAAAATAGCAAGGAAAAGAGAGACACGCTGCAACCAAGGTTTGCTTTTCAAGTCTCATCAATAGGAGCCAGTTGCCAAGCATACGAATTTTGATCCCCTGGCCCTGGGGAACGCTACAACGGTCGTAAAGTGTGAAAAATGCTCACTGTTGTAACTTGGAGCAGTCGATTAACAAACTGTTATAAGTCAAGGACTTATATTCTCCACCTCGCAAGCTTGTCCATTTACATTTTTCCCCCCTTCAATTTTTTTTTTTTTTAAAAAAGAAATTGCTTTGACAATGGCCTCTTTCTCTGGAGCCTTTCAACTATAATTTCTACCTGGTCTCGTCTTCCTTCCTTCCAGTTAGCAAAACAGGCAAACAACCTTGTAAAATAATTACTCCACACAGATAGAATGCTGAGTGGCTTAATTGTTAGGAGCAACACAGTTGGTTAAGGGTGGAAACATCTTCAGTCTACGAATTTCCAAGTTTCTCAGCTCTCCCTCTCTCTCCCCCTCTTTTTCTGCTCCCTCTCTCTCTTTCTCTCTCCCTCTCTTTCCCTCTCTCTTTCTTTCTGTCTCTCTCTCTCTCCCCCCTCCCTCTTCCTCTTTCTTTCCCCTCTCTCTCTTTCTCTCTCTCCCCCTCTTTCTCTCTCTTTCCCTTTCTCTCCCTCTATTCCTCTCTCCCCCCCTCTCTCTACACACATTATTAATTAGATTCCACTCATAATCTATCAGTTGAGGTCACGGGTGTCTGCTTCCCCCATGCTACACATCAACACAGACATTCCTTCTGGATCTCTCTCTCCCCCCAATTATCCTCCAGGGGATACAAAGGCCAATGAATACCTTGGACCACCCACTCAAAAACAAACCACTGCTTTTCTAATGTGACACAAATAGCCTTAAGATTTGCAGGATCATCAAGCTCTCTTTGTGGTGTGTGTGTGTGGGGGGGGAGAGCAGAGAAAGGACTGGCTGACTCAGCAGCCGACCTGGAAGAAAACCCATTGTGTCAGCTGTCATTTTCACAGCTGTCTCTCACCATAGACTCTTCTGCTGGTCCTTGAACGCAAAGGATACGCAAGCTGAGTTGTAAACTTGCAAGTGTATGTTTGTGAGTATGGAGCCCCTTTCTGCCACCACCCACACATACATTCACAATCTCTCTCTCTCTCTCTCTCTCTCTCTCTCTCTCTCTCTCTCTCTCCCTACCTACCTACCTAGATAGATAGCAATAGCGATAGAGAGATAGAGAGAGATAGCGATAGTGATAGAGAGATAGAGATAGATAGATAGATAGATAGATAGATAGATAGATAGATAGATAGATAGATATAGCGATAGCGATAGATAGATAAAGGTAGAGATAGATAGTGGGAACCCAACCTACCTGAATGTCATCTGGAAGATCTGCCCTTGGTTGACATGTTGGGTCCTGTTGTTGTAGCCATGAAGCATCTCTCCAAAGAGAGTGTCGTTGAAGTTCACATCTGGCTTGAGACACTTGGGGCCCTCACAGATGTCCGACAATAGGAGGCAGGACTTGCCATCTGGAGCCAGCTTGTATTCCTCAACGCAACTGAAGACCAAACCCAAGAGAAAAGTCCTCAGCAATTGCTCCACAACGCAACTGACCAAGTCAGGTCCAGCTAAAACATACGGTAGTCATCTTGCAATTGGAGTTATTAATAAATAGGCAACAAAACATGAGAACGGAACCACAATCAGTGGAAGATCAAAATCAGATTGGAATTTTGGAGAAGGGTTCCCCCCCCCCCGTTATCGCTTGGAGCAAATTAAAAAAACTCTGCAAGTTACATTACTGCCAATGTCTTCACAGATCTGTGTTACATCTGGCAGTCTAACCCAACTCCACATTCAGACTGTTGCAGCAAGACCTAGGTATAGGGTGTAAAATGTCCCTCTGGCAATCCATGTAGAATTAGGAATACTCTGACATTTCTTGAAAACCAGGATTCTACCTGACACATTTTTTCCCCCTCTTTATCTGTTCTCCCTTCTTCTGCAAGCTGTAAAGCAATTCACACCTAGGCAGGAAGTGGTGAACCCAACACCCCAGGAACCGTGAAGGGCTGCAACCCAACAAAATTGCTGCCACCTGAGCACCTGGCAGTGTCAGGATTTGACAGATGTTTCACGGAATTGGTTTTAAGGGAGTGCTTCCCTGGTGCAGAAAAGTACCCTTCCCATCTGGCTGAAGGTCAAAAAGGAAGTGGAGGTGCTAGATTTTTGCCACGAACTGAAACAGCAAATAAACTGGAAGAGGAAGTGCAGGGAAGTACACACACACACACACACACACACACAGAGAGAGAGAGAGAGAGAGAGAGAGAGAGAGAGAGAGAGAGAGAGGTGTGTGTCCAAGAGAACAGTACTGAACAAAACACCAGAACCTGAAGAAGAGACATATCCCTTCTTAGTGAATGCCCTTAACATAAAGAATGTGGAAGCCTTCCATCAGGGATCCTCCCCATGTTTACAAAATACAGCATATAGGCTTCCTAAGACATATTCCTTCTCTCCCTTGCATTAACAGAGGGATAGAATCAAGTTCACATGAAGTGTTCATACTAATTTATGATGCCTTGGTAATGCCACACTTGGAACACTGCATCCAGTTTTGGTCGCTACTGAGGTAAAAAAAAAAAGATGTTGAGACCAGTGGTGGGATTCAAATCTGTGAACGGTCGGTTCTCTGTGTGGACGCCACTTCCAAAAGTCCATTCTGGGTCTGGGCAACAAAAAATTAGTTACCAAACTGGTGCAAACTGGCTGAATCCCACCACTGGTTGAGACTCTTTGGAAAGAGTGCAGAGAAGAGCAACAAAGATGATTAGGGGACTGGGGGCTAAAACATATGAAGAACGGTTGCAGGAATTGGGTATGTCTAGTTTAATGTAAAGAAGGATTAAGGGAGACATGATAGCAGTCTTCCAATATCTGAGGTGCTGCCACAAAGAAGGGTGGGTCAACCTATTCTCCAAAGCATCTGAAGGCAAGACAAGAAACAATGGGTGCAAACTACTCAAGGAGAAAACCAACCTAAAACTAAGGGAAATTTCCTGACAGTGAGAACAATTAACCAGTCACCAGAAATTATGGGTGCTCCATCACTTGAGGTTTTCAAGAAGAGATTGGACAGCCATTTGTGATATAGGATCTAAAAGCTAAAAGATCTGCAAGGTCTCTTCCAACTCTCTTATTCTGTATTCTGCCAAGCCATCGATCTACAACTCTGCCTTAAGCCAACATTTAGAATACACCCTCTTCCATCACATTTTTCAAAGATCTAGCAAATTTTAAGTCAACTGGGCGCAATAAATATCTCAAATTTGACAAAAGAGACTTAAATGCTTTACCTAGAAGAAATGTGTTTAGTTCAACCAAGTAAACTTTTAGTCACGTCCTCAGCGCGCCTGGAGAAAAGCAGGCCAACAGGCCACTGGCTACGTTTTCTCATCCTGAAGCTTTCAAAATAGGTCGGGGAGTAGAGTATCCTTCAGTTATAAGGAATAGTTAGAAGCACTCTGCTAATTCACCATTTTGCAACCTCAGAAGCACATCTGTGGCGCCACCAAGTCCATATGAGACCTTGACTGGAATAGTAAGGAGGTAAATAAGATAAGCCTATTCAATTAATTGAATCTGGAGCTCTAGGCTCTGAGTGCTCAAACGAATTCCTGTAAAATTGAGATAAAAGTAGGAAGGAACCCAGCTGAGAGACTACAACTAAGAGCACTCAACTTCTTCAAAGGTTTTTTTTTTTTTTTTTTTTTTTGGCCATGCATTTTGAAGGGATATATAAAGAATGGAACGGAATGGAACGGAACGGAACAGAACAGAACAGAACAGAATAGAATAGACAGTGATTAATATTTATATGTTACTTATATGTAAAGGTGTAGGTCTATACTTATGTTGTATAGTGACATTGTATAGTATATGTTGTATAGGTCTATACATATGTTGTATATAGTTTGTTTTAAATGTGTGTTATGTATGAGTATGCTTTGAGAGGAAGCAACTAAATTTCATTTTTAATGTGTGCCATTGGGGCCACAGGAAAAATGACAAGGAATGGAATGGAATGGGATGGGATGGGGTAGAATAAGAATAAGAATAGAATAGAATAGAATAGAATAGAATAGAATAGAATAGAATAGAATAGAATTGGAAGGGATCTTAGAGGTCTTCTAGTCTAATCCCCTGCTCAGGCAGGAAACCCTACACCATTTCAGACAAAGGGCTGTCCAGTCTCTTCTTCAAAACTTCCAGTGTTGGAGCATTCCCACCTTCTGGAGGCAAGTCGTTCCACTGGTTAATTGTTCTGTCAAGAAATTTCTTCTTCAATGGATGGATGATTAATGTTCTCAAGGCCTAGCCCTTCTTTCTTACCCACAGAACATGTGGATGGTGCTGGAGGTTGGGTCCCACAGGAGAGGGAGAGTTTGCTGAAGGCACAGCTGCTCGCAACCGCCATTGGAGCCATCTGAGCAATCAATCCCCTTGGAGTAGTCGTAGCAGCCGGTCCCATCCTTCATGGGTCTCAAGTCTTCGGGGCACTGCATGAAGAAGGGAAGAAATCAAGGTAGACATAATTGTAACCAACCAATGCCATTTCTTAACATGCTGAGGGAACTCCAAAATGTACCAGGCACCAGTTCCAAGCCCTGAAACCCTGAAGAAAAGTCTAAAGATGCTTTAAGGCCCAGAATAGAACAGAACAACAGAGTTGGAAGGGACCTTGGAGGTCTTCTAGTCCAACCCCCTGTCAGGCAGGAGACCCTATACCATTCCAGACAAGTGACTATCCAGTCTCTTCTTAAAAGCCTCCAGTGTTGCAGTATCCACAAGTTCTGGAGGCAAGTTGATAGATTGCTCTCACTGTTGGGAAATTTCTCCTTAGTTCTAGGTTGCTTCTCTCCTTGATTAATTTCCATCTGTTGCTTCTCATCCTGCCTTCAGGCGCTTTGGAGAAGAGCTTGACTCCCTCTTCTTTGGGGCAGCCCCTGAGATATTGGAAGACTGCTATCGTGTCACCCCTCGTCCTTCTCTTCGTTAAACTAGACAAAGTCAATTCCTGCAACCATTCCTTATATGTTTTAGCCTCCAGTCCCCTTCTCATCTTTGTTGCTCTTCTCTGCACTCTTTCCAGAGTCTCAGGATCTCTTTTAAGCTGTAGCATCCCCACAATGTAAAAATTGTAGGGGCGCCATGATGTACATTGCAACAGATACTCAAGGTGTTGGGATTCAAATATAACTGTTCCCATTTTCTAAGCAGGGAGTCCTTAACGCATTTCTTCCGGCCGAAAAAAATTGGCGTTTTTAATTTCAGTTTCCTACCCAGCATTTTTCCAATACCGAGTGGTTAAAGTGGGCATTTGCCAGCATTAATCAATGCCTGCTCTTATTAAACAGACTCTTATCTTCCCTTCCATTCCCCCCCCCCATTATTTACTTCTCTGAAACCTGTCCAAGGAGGAGGGGGGGGATGGAAAGGGGAAAAGACCACTCTCTTTGGATGGTAGGAAGAAGATAATAAATGGGGCTGAACAACTGCTGAACAATGGCTCAGCAATTGCATGATGGGATTCCTGAATCGGAGCAAAAATCCCAGCTAACCCTGAGCTGTGAGAAATCAACTTGCAAATGGCTTCTCCCAAGCCAAGCCAAGCTAGAAGACGAACACTTTTTAAATAATAATAATTTGCAAACACATTTACATATTTGCAGCCTCTGACCACTATACATTTGGCCGTCCCTGTTTTCCAGACTGCAAACCCCAAGGTTTTGCTTTAAAAAAAAAAAAAAAAAATTACGTTTGCACGGAACATATGAACGAAAGTTGCCGGGAGGCAGGCAGCATTTAAATGTAATTTATTATTATTATTTGCTCTGCTGCCAACAACTCATTGGAAATCCCAACCTTGTCTTCTGCCTTCTGAACCAGAATGGAGAAACCCGAAGACCGGCCAGCCCCATCATAAATCTCCACCAGATCTGGCCGTGGAAAGTTCCTGGCGGGATTTCAGGGCTTGCAATAATGTATTTATGGGTTAAATAAACTTGGATCATGGCGATTAACTTAATATCTGAAGAGCTGTTTCCCCACTTCCAAAATTGGCAGTTCTCTAATTGCAAGTTGTTAATCTTGTTGCTCAAGGATGCCAAAGGAGGGGAGGGGAGTTTGAAGAAACTCTGATCTCGGCTAGTATATGGGTTAGAAATAGGTGGTTTCCCTCTGGAATCATGAACTGGACTCCAATGACTTTGCATTAACAGAATAACAGAGGTGGAAGGGACCTTGGAGGTCTTCTAGTCCAACCCCCTGCTCAGGCAGGAACTCTATATCATTGCAGACAAATGGTTGTCCAGTCTCTTCTTAAAAACCTCCAGTGATGGAGCACCTACAACTTCTGAAGGCAAGCAGTTCCACGGGTTAATTGTCCTCACTGTTAGGAAGTTTCTCCTTAATTCCAGGTTGCTTCTCTCCTTGATGAGTTTCCATCCATTGCTTCTTGTCCTGCCTTCTGGTGCTTTGGAGAACAGGTTGACTCCCTCGTCTTTGGGGCAACCCCTGAGATACTGGAACAGTGCTATCGTGTCACCCCTGGTCCTTGTCTTCATTAAACTAGATATACCCAATTCCTGCAACCGTTCTTTATACGTTTTACCCTCCAGCCCTCTAATCCTTCTTCTTTGCACTCTTCCTGGAGTCTCAACATCTTTTTTATATTGTGGTGACCAAAACTGGATGCAAGTGAGATCTTACCAAGGCATTGCAAAGTGGTATTTTGCAGAGCCTTTCAGGGAAAATATATGATTTTTTTCCTATGTATTTTTCTACAAAGGCACATTTGGAGCTGTTCGAAGCTCACGTGCTGTTCTATCCATCCATCCATCCATCCATCCATCCATCCATCCATCCATCCATATCAGATGAGGTAGAACCTGGTGCCATCATACTATCCATACTTTGTCTTCTTCAGCTCTGAGTGTCCTTACCTGGGAAGATACTGGTAATCCTACCAATGACTTGGTTGCCGCTACTCATTCCCCCTTCAGGAGTGATGGAAACCTGACCTATTAATGCCCATTTCCTGAGGCTGCCAATAAAATCCGGTTTCAGCTAGGATTGATCAGCCTGCCTCAAGCGGCCAAGAAGCCAGAATTACGGTGAGTTTTAATCAATCCTGCAGCAATCCGGCGGCAGTTCAATTTGTGATCTGCCTCTCTAGTGACACCAGACCTAGAAATTATTAGAAAATCAATATTCTATTCAGCCAATAATTCTTCCTGGATAATCGTAGGCGAAGGGTCCTTCGTCAAAGCAATCCTGCAGAGACTTTTCTCCCATTGGCTGGTTGGTATCAAGGAAGGAGAGTAAAGTTTTGGAACATTTGTTTCTGCAAACTATCGAACCGAGCTGAGGGAGATAGGGAGAAAAAGCTGGAAGAAACATCGTCCGGAAAAGTCATTACTGGATTTTTACAAATGATGCAGTAAACAGCTCAAGTGAGGTCCATCCAACATGTTCCTGCAACACGTCCATCAGAAGGCCTGAGGCTCATTTGACTACACTCAAAAAACGTTGCTACTATGGAGGGCCTCTGAAGCCAAGATCAAAGGAACAAAATGCAAAAATTGCTCAGAAAAAGAAACATTCCCCCACCCATCCCTTGTTCTTGGTTGTTTTTCTCCACTTTTCTTCCCCGTCAAAAACGAAAATAATTCCCATTAAGGCATCAGATGTGTTTCCTGCTTTCCGAAGACTCCGAATGTTTGATTACAGATGCTGTTTCCAAAACATTTCAGGAAAATGTGAAATAAATTGCTTAAAAGGTTTCTCTCTCTCTCTCTCTCTCTCTCTCTCTCTCTCTCCTTCTTCTCCCTCCATCTTTTTTTTTTCTCTTTCTATTAAGCTTAGCTCATTTTCTTACTAATCCCAGGAAAAAGAAAGAAAGAAAACTTAACAGAATGTTTTTGAGGGAGCGTAAATGACCACCTTTTGAAATTAGTCTGTCACGCTTTTCTAAATATTAGCAACTGTTCTGCCACGAGAGTGTTTTGCTTCATCAAAGCAAAAGAGATGGTATTGGCACTCCAAAAACAACTGGAAATTAGAATGGAAGAGACAAAAAATACATCCGAACAATGCAGGCAAAACTATAGTAAATCCTTGCAGAAATTATGAAAGGACAAAGGGAAACCTCATTGTTGGAAGAAAAATAAGAATAGAATAGAATAGAATAGAATAGAATAGAATAGAATAGAATAGAATAGAATAGAATAGAATAGAATAGAGCTGGAAGGGAGTAGAGTAGAGTAGAGTAGAGTAGAGTAGAGTAGAGTAGAGTAGAGTAGAGTAGAGTAGAGTAGAGTAGAGTAGAACAGAGCTGGAAGGGAGTAGAGTAGAGTAGAGTAGAGTAGAGTAGAATAGAGTAGAGTAGAATAGAGTAGAGTAGAATAGAGTAGAGTAGAGTAGAGTAGAGTAGAATAGAATTAAATTAAATTGAATAGAATTAGAATAGAATATGAAATTGAATATTGGAAGAGACCTTGGAGGTCTTCTAGTCCCACCCCTGCTCAGCAGGAAACCCTATTCCCTTCCAATCAAATGTTATCCTGTCTTTTCTTGAAGATCTCTAATGATGGATCATCCACAACTTCTGGAAGCAAATTGTTCCACTCTTTAATTGTTCTAACTGTCAGGAAATTTCTTAGTTCTAGGTTGTTTCTCTCCTTGATGAGTTTCCATCTGTTGCTTCTTGTCCTGCCTTCAGGTGCTTTGGAGAATAGCTTGACCCCCTCTTCTCTGTGGCAACCCCTGAGATATTGGAAGACTGTTATCATGTCACCCCTATTTCTTCTCTTCAATAAACTAGATATATCCAATTCCTGCAACCGTTCTTTATATGTTTTACGCTCCAGTCCCCTGATCATCTTCGTTGCCCTTCTCTGCACTCTTTCTAGAGTCTCAACATCTTTTTTACATCGTGGTGACCAAAACCGAATGCCGTATTCCAAGTGTGGCCTTACCAAGGCCTTGTAAAGCGGTATTAACACTTCACCTGGTCTTGATTCTATCCCTCTGCTAATGCAGCCTACAACTGTGTTGGCTTTTTTTGGCAGCTGCAGCACACGGCTGGCTCCATTCCCCATCCAGACCCAGACAATCTGCTTTGAAAGCTACTGAAATCCTGGTTAAAAAAAAAGTCCTCTCTTTGGTGTCATTTGATGTCAAGCCGTAACATCTGCTACTTCCATAAATTAGCTCCATTGTCTATAAAACACCTCAATGAACACGGATCAGCAGGGTAGCAGCTGAGTTTCAGGAACTGGTGGGTAGATTCCTAACAGATGCCACAAGCTGAAGCTTAACGCTCGGGTAGATCCATCAAGAATGATAACAGTAGGCAAGCAAAAAAATAAAAAATAAAAAAAATCTGCATTTTCCAACCGTTTCTTTTTCAGTCGCCTTTGTTGACGGGGCTGCTGGGGTTATCTGGCAGAAAATGTCACTGAAATCCTCCACTTACGACCACAAGGGAGCCTCAGATGTTCTGTTGCCAAGCGAGACATCTGTGAAATGAGTCTTGCCCCATTTAATGACCTTCCTACAGGGGATTGCTCTAGTTACTAAGTCAATAACAGGCTTGTTAAGTGAATCTGCCTTCTCCATTGCTTGTCAAAGGGTCATGTGACCCCGGGACATTGCAACGGTCATAAATAGGAATCAGCTGCCGGGTGTTTGAATTGAACATGGAGGATGCTTTAATGGTGGTAAAAACTGGTCCTTTTTTCAGGTGCTTTTTTCAGCAGGCAACTGGACTTTTCTTTGAAGACGTTTCACATCTCACCCAAGAAGCTTCTTCAGTTCTGGCTGGCTGGATGGTGGGGACTGGACCTGCCCTAAGTCCATTTTTCAGCCCCGCTGTAACTCTGAACGGTCACTAAATGAATTGTTACAAGTCCACAAAGAAGAGGGAGTCAAGCTGTTCTCCAAAGCGCCTGAAGGCAGGACAAGAAGCAACGGATAGAAACTAACCAAGGAGAGAAGCAACCTAGAACTAAGGAGAAACTTCCTGACAGTGAGAACCATTAGCCAGTGGAACCACCTGCCTCCAGAAGTGGTGAATGCTCCAACACTGGAAGATTTAAAGAAGAGACTGGACAGCCATTTGTCCGAAATGGGATAGGGTTTCCTGCCTGAGCAGGGGGTTGGACCAGATGATCTCCAAGGTCCCTTCCAAGTTTGGAAAAATAAATACGGGCGTCACGGCAGGATCAGAATATCACAGTGAGAATCCTCAAAGGCGCATGATGAGCAAAGGGAAGCACCAAGTCTGAAGCTCGGGATGCTGATCCTCGTACATTGGTTATTATCTTCTATGGTGCCAAGATTTCTGCTCCGGCTTTGGCAGTGAATTGTAGACTCATTGTGGTACAAAAAGAAGCGTACTATATTCAACAGTGTGCAGGATAACTTTGCCCACGCCACAACTCTACTCGGGTTTAAATATTTCTGTAGCATTGGAGAAGTTGCACGTTGATGAGAGGGCATGTATGCAGACAAAGGGGTCAAAATAACATTTCCAGTAACTAATATCCAGGGAATTGCATTATCTTGTCCCTTGTGCTCTCGTTATCAGCTTTTTACACGGACACTTCTCCTGTTTTCCAAAAGACAGCTGGCTCACCAGGGTAAGCAGCATAAAATTTCTCCTCAAGTACCCCTCCTTCTTATTCCCCTGCCTTTTTCCTTCCTCTTTCCCTCACCCCTTACAAGAGCCACCCATTGTTATTCCTTGCACAGATGTTCAAATGCATGTCTCTTCTCAGCCTAAATATCCTGGCTCTTGCTAAACAACTCCCGGTGTTAACTACCAGGCAGAGATCCGGAACGATTCCACAGAAGAACGAATCCTCTCCAGTTGTAATTCAGTATTTCAGTTGTTGCATAGATAACGCACATTTCTTTTTATTGGTGCCCAAAGAGGAATCATTAGCAATCTTTGTCTTCCTGCTAGATGAAATAGGTAAAGGAAGTTCTCGGCATAGGACCGCAACCGACCCCAAAATTTCTATTGCTACGTGAGGCAGTTGTTCATGGAATTTTGCCCCGTTCTTGCCACGCCTGTTAAGTGACTCGTTGCAGCTGTTGAGTTAGTAACAGGACACTTCAATCAGAATAGAGGCTGGAAGGGACCTTGGAGGTCTTCTAGTCCAACCTCCTGCTCAAGCAGGAGACCCTGTACCATTTCAGACAAGTGACTGTCAAGTTTCTTCTTAAAAACCTCCAGTGATGGAGCACCCGCAACTTCTGGTGGCAAGTCGTTCCATTGGTTAATCGTCCTCACTCTTAGGAAGTTTCTCTTTAATTCCAGATTGCTTCTCTCTCTTTGATTAGTTTCCATCCATTGTTTCTTGTCTTGCCTTCTGGTGCTTTGGAAAATAGGTTGACCCCCCTCCTCTTTGTGGCAGCCCTTCAGATACTGGAAGACTGCTATCATGTCCCCGCTAGTCCTTCATTTCTCCAGGCTATCCATACCCAAATCCTGCAACTGTTCTTCGTATGTTTTTGTTTCCAGGCCTTGGATCAACTTAGTTGGCTCTTCTTTGCCAATAAATATGAACCAGCATCCAAATTTTGATCACATGACCCTGGAGGATGCTACTATGGTCGAAAGTGTGAAAAAAAATGGTCATAAGTGACTTTTTTTTCAGTGACGTTGCAACTTCAAACAGTCAATAAATGAACTATTGTAAGTTGAAGACCGTATGTAAACAAACAAATAAATAATTGGGCTTCTATGGTAGGTATCTAGCATCAGAGCTGTCCCCCGAGAAGAAGAAGATGGAGAAGGAGAGAGGAGGAGGAGGAGGAGGAGGAGGAGGAGAAGGAGAGGAAGGAGCAAGAGAAGGAGGAGAGAAGGAGGAGGAGAAGGAGGAGAAGAAAAAGGAGAGAAAGGAGAAAGAGAAGGAGGAGGAGAAGGAAAGAGAAGAAGAAGATGGAGAAAGAAGAGGAGGAATGAAATACTGCTAGGTATATGAGATTCCAAATAAATCCAGTTTGCTTTCACTCAAGTAAATTAATAGAATGATCTCATATACTGTGTGCCAAAAAAAAAAAGCAAAGGGTTATATTTTGAGAGAGATATAAACCTGGAAGCACAAAACCCATTTCATTAGAATCAGAAGGGAAGATGGCATTTGAGCAGTATGAATTGTATTCCCCAAAAAGAATACAATAACTACAACCTGAATATGAGAGAGAGAAAGAGAGAGAGAGAGAGAGAGAGAGAGAGAGGGAGAACAATTGCATAATCCCAGGAGAAGAGTATGTCTTCTTCAAGGAGCTGCAGATGGAGAGAAGGTCTGCATTCCCAAACTCTCTGAAGCATCTTTTCGCAACCCAAGTCCAAGGCATCCATCTTCCCTGGAGCCAAAAGTTATACTTACCACACAACCAGTTGAGTCCACTTGACGATCCGATACGCATTTGAAGTTGCGGGTACAGCCTCCGTTATTGTGAGAACAATCCCGAACCGGTCCGAAGGAAGAGAGAAGGTCGTTGATGGTCTCAAAATAGGTCGACAACATTGCTTCTTCCCTTGAAGGAAAAAAAGGTCCATTCAAGTCAGCTCAACTCAAAGTCAAAGAATTGACCATCCTTTATGTAATTCTTTCCCAAATTCCTTCGGTTCGCCCTCTGGCCTCCATACTTAGTGCAATTAAGCCAAAGTCAGATTAATTCCCTCTTTCTCATCTGCTCACTCTATTATTTAACGATTTTCCCTTTAGTAACTGCCTTCCTCTTTTCTTTTCTGACAACAATTCAAATTAGAAGTCTCTTTCAATGTCTTTTGTCATGCATAACCTTAGTAAACGGTTTCCTAAGCGGAGCAAGATCAATTAAAATACTCAATATATTTTAATCATGACTTCAGAAAAATGACTTCCAAATAAAAGTAGAGATGTGTCCTATTTCCAAGCAGCCAAAGACAATTTATATTTCTGTGGGGCACCTCCAAATTCTTGATGCACACTTGGCCAATAAAGAATTCCATTCCATTTCATTCCTTATTCTATTCTATTCTATTCTATTCTATTCTATTCTATTCTATTCTATTCTATTCTATTCTATTCTATTCTATTCTATTCTATTCTATTCTATTCCTATTCCTATTCTATTCTGCATCATATTCTATTCTATTCTATTCTATTCTATTCTATTCTATTCTATTCTATTCTATTCTATTCCATTCCATTCCATTCCATTCCATCCCATCCCATCCCATCCCATCCCATCCCATCCCATGAGTGTGAAGGAGAGAAAAGCAAAGGAAGGTTGTTTTTGGGACAAAACAGCTATCGAAAAGTATTAAAAAGGGGGAGGAAATCATTAAAAAACTGAGAGAGAGAGAGAGAGAGAGAAAGAGAGAGAGATGTTGGGAAGCAGAGCAAAGAGAATTTTGTATTGTGTCAATGTGGTTGCGTCAAAGGCATTTTCCAACTGAAAGACCAATTTTAAGGTGGAAGAACATTTCCTAGGGCTTATGAGGATGGTGTCTGAAAATTCAGTAAGTGCTTCCACTGGGATTTTCCCAACTTCATGCACCACCAAGGACTTATGTTTTCAACTCACATCCTGCTCTGAACTGCCACTTCGATGTTTGCTTCCAGTTTCTTAATTTACCGCTACACAGTTCCATGCAAACTTGTCAAGCATACTACTGCAATTTAGGCTAAAATCCACCAACAAACAGAAAAGTGGTAGATTTCAGTGAGAAGGGTAAGGATGGAGGGAGAAGATCAATGTGTTATGGCATATGGTCCAGATTCCATACTCGTCAAGAGGTAGGAGCCAACTTAGTTAGTTTATGTGAGAGAAAGAGGATGAAGACGGCTCCTCCCTCCTAGTTCCCAGAAAGGGCTTCATATAGGTAATAGTCTGCTTCAGTTTGGCAAGAATCTGTCTATAGGTATAGAACAATAAAGGCATCTACTTAGAAGAAGTTCCTTTCCTTTCCTTTCTCCTTCTCTTCCCTCTCCTTTCCTTTGCTACATTTCTTTTCTTTTCCTTTCCTTTCCTTTCCTTTCCTCACCTTTCCTTTGCTAGATCCCCTTTCCTTCCCTCCTCTCTCCTCCTCCTCCCCTTCCTCCCTCCCTCCCTCCCTCCCACCCTCCCTCCCTTCCTTCCTTCCTTCCTTCCTTCCTTCCTTCCTTCCTTCCTTCCTTCCTTCCTTCCTTCCTTCCTCTTTGTGGAAAATGACACAAAAACATTCTTTAACTGCCAGAAAAGACCCAGGTCCAAACTGGTGCCAATCTCATAACTACTCATAAAAATCACACAATGTTTGTCTAGGGTTGTGTAGAAGAACCCTGTAACACAACACAGCTTTTTGAATGGGTGATGGAATTTGCCAGGGCACCATAGATCTAACCATCCCAGTTAGAGAAAAGGAAGTCACATCAAACAGAAAACCTGGAGCACTTCAGGAAGCAGTACCCCCATGAAACAAACAGGCCCAATTTCCCAAGAATCAAACAACTGGATGAATTGTGATTCAGCTCGCTCAGCTATGTCAGCCATGTGAAAGACCATGAAATTAAATAAACCTTATGCTGGCTGACAGCTATATCCAGGATTTAGTGAGAGAGAGAGAGAGAGAGAGAGAGAGAGAGAGAGAGAGAGAGAGAGAGAGAGAGAGAACTTTTTTGGTGTTACCTGCAACATGACCCCATTTTGAGGTGAAAATTCTGGATCCCTGTCCTACAGGTGAACAATAGTGAGGCTTCAGTAAAGAGAAGTTGACAGCATTTCACAAGGAATGACTGACACACCAAAAGATTGTGACGGAACCATCCTAAGATTAGAGCAGGCTTCCAAAATTAGAGCATTTAGCTTTAAATTCCACAGTCCCCAGCCTGCCTTACCAAACGCACTGTGGGTAATCTTCAGTTGAGCCCAAAAGTTTACGTTGCTAAGCAAGACTTTTGTTAAGTTGAATTTCGCCCCATTTTTCTGTTGTTAAGTTGGTAACATGGTTGTTAAATCAATCTGCCTCCAACGTCCCTTCTAACTACTACCACTACTACTACTACTACTTCTCCTTCTTCTTCTCATTATTATTAATTATTATCATCATCATCTTCATCACACAGTCAGCCAGATGTTCAGACTGGATTTGGCATTTTTGTCTACCTATCAAGTCCTTACCAAGGACCTGAGAGAGGCAGATGTGGCTGTTTGATGGTATCACAGATCTTGTCGCAGGATGGAAACAGTTCCTTGTAAGGCTGCCTTTTGCAATTGACTAATGGCGAATGTGTCAATGCCAATGATGGTGTTCAAGTGGTGCTCCAGTTGTTTTGGGGTTGCACCTAAGGCGCCTATTACTATTGGTGCCACCCTTGCTTGCTTTTGCCACAGTCTTTCTATTTCTATTTGTAGGTCTTTGTACTTTGTTATCTTCTCCAGTTCTTTCTCGTCTATTCTGCTGTCTCCAGGCTCTGCCACGTCCACTATCCAGACTTTTTTGTCTTTCTTATCAAAGAGTGTTTAAGTCCGGGGTTTTATGTTGCAGGTACTTGTCTGTTTGAATTATTATTCAAATCGAACATGAGGATCCCACCACTGTCTTTTGTGTTTTTTCGTGAGGTAATCTCTGTTTACTCACACACATGTTGGGTAAATGGATGCATCAGACAATAAACGTATTCTAAATTCTGCATCTCGACGCAAACAAGCAAGTGGATGCCCCTTTCTTGCTTGGCTTATTAATTGCGGATGAAAATTGTGACACAGAAATGAACTTCGAAAGATATAAAAAGTAAAAATGGCGTCCATCCTCCACCCCCACCCCCCAAATTTGACTGATTTTGGCACCTCTAAATTTAGCTGCGTGCAACCTTCTCAGCTTTTAATCCCAGCAAAGATTCCTCGTTTAGAAACATCTGTTTCCATTCAACCCGCTTCTTTTAGAACAAAACTGTGATCCAGATATGTATTTCCACCCAAGCCAGCGCTCTGAATATTCTCCCGACAAATTTTCACTTCATGCCACAACACATTTGCAAATTTATTAATAACCAGAATTATTAATAGAAGCAACCCCCCCAAAAAAACCAAAATAACCCAACCAACAACTTGAGCTCATTTAACATCTAGCAGTCTGCAGCAACTGACAGCAGTTTTCTAGTAATTGAACTATCATTAGCTTAAACATTAAAATATTTTGAACTATGAAGGGTTTATTTGCGATTTAGGGAGGCTGCATCTTCAGAATCCCAACTGGAGCGTGGTTAAATATTTTTCTTGAACACATTGCTATAATGTTATCAAAGCACTGCACCTACTAATTTGCTCACCTTATCTCTTCCCATCAGGGCATATATTTTGAGTATAGGAAATAATTAGTTGGGCTTGGCTGATCTCTAAAAGCTAAGTAGAGTGGAGTGGAGTGAAGTGGAGTGGAGTGGAGTGGAATGGAATGGAATGGAATGGAATGGAATAGAATAGGAATAGAATAGAATAGAATAGAAAGTAGAGTTGAATAGGAGGAAGAATAGAATAGAATGTAGAACAGAACAGAACAGAATAGAATAGAATTATAGAATAGAATAGAATAGAATAGAATAGAATAGAATAGAATAGAATAGAATAGGAATAGGAATAGGAATATAGAATAGAATAGAATAGAATAGAATAGAATAGAATAGAATAGGAATAGAATAGGAATAGAATAGGAATAGGAATAGGAATATAGAATAGAATAGAATAGAATAGAATAGAATAGAATAGAATAGAATAGAATAGAATAATGATAGGAATAGATTAGATTAGATTAGAATAGAATAGAATTAGGAATAGGAATATAGAATAGAATAGAATAGAATAGAATAGAATAGAATAGAATAGAATAGAATAGAATATGGAATATGGAATATGGAATAGGACAGGATAGGATAGGATAACCCTCCTTCTCTTCTTCTACTTCCCCCAGTCTGCAAATCTCACTCCCTTCTAATATGTTACCTAGTTGGGTCATGAAACATCTGCAAGAAAACAACCCAACTCAAAGAGCCCCAAGGACCCCACCAATCCAGAATCTCCTTTCTAGCACTGATGATGTTACCTAGCTGGGTCATGAAACGTCTGCAAGAAAACCACCCAGCTCAGAGATCCTGAAGGACTAGGCACTTCCTAGCAGCAAAAGAGGGTGGGTTTCCTGGACCCAGCCTCTACTGCCATTGGTAAAGCACCTGGCAAAACCAGCAGAGCTGAAGAGCTTCTTTCCTCTTGCCAAAGTCACTGAAGGATGGATGGATTCAGTCTGAGCTGCCCTTTCCCACAGGGGTTGAATGAAACGTCCACCCGATCAGGCCTGTCAAAAGAGATCAGAGCCTGCAAAGTGGATCCAGGTTGTCAGCCTCCATTGTTAGCAGCCGGCCTCTGGTCGCCAAGGGGAAGGACCGGACTGGCATGGAGAGGCCTCTTTTCCAAGGCCCTTTCCACATTCTTTGAAGGGCTGACAATAACAACACAAAAGCTGATCTCCCCCCCCCCAAAAAAAGCAACAGTGTTCCAGAAAGAAGCGCGGCTGGCAT